GTTGTTGATGGCACATTCTGACCCTACCTGCCTAATGTCGCAGCAGAATTCGAGACTCATCAGACCAGGCAACGTTTTTCCATTTCTATTGTCCATTTTTGGTGAGCCTTTGCAAACTGTAGCCTCAGTCTCCTGTTCTTAGCTGACAGGAGTAGCACCTGGTGTGATCTTTTGCTGCTGTAGCCCATCCGCCATCCGGACATGTTGTGCATTCAGAGATGCTCTTTTACATACTTTGGTTGTAACGAGTGGTTTTATCTTTCTATCAGCTGAAACCAGTCTGGCCATTCTGCTCTGAACTCTGGCATCAATAAGGCATTTGTACCCACAGATCTGCCGCTTACTGGATATTTCTCTTTTTCTAACCATTCTCTGTAAACCCTAGAGATGGTTGTGCATGAAAATCCCAATAGATCAGCAGTTCCTGAAATACTAAGACCAGTCCGTCTGGCACCAACAACCATGCCACGTTCAAAGTCACTAAAATCACCTTTCTTCCCCATTCTGATGCTCGGTTTGAACTGCAGCATATTGTCCATGTCTACATATTAAAAATATGTGTTAACGAGTCGTTGGACAGGTGTACCTAATAATGTGGCCGGTGAGTATATGTAGGAATCAGAGAAGATCTTTATATTAAGAAACACTTTTTTTTTTGTCTTTTTCTTTTTTGGGAAAATAGAGATTTTACAACTGTTGAGTTGACAGCATTACTAGATCTGAATCTATTGACCTGATCTCCAGGCCTGGCGGGAGCACTTTTAGCTTAGATTAGCATAAATTATTGCATCAGATTAGATCATTAGGATCTTGCTCAGAAATGACTAAGGAGTTTAGATAATCTTCTTATTTAAAACTTGATGAAGAATGGGTGTTGTTCAGTAGTTTAAGGAGAACTTAAGGAGAACTAATACATTCAAAGGTTTATTTGTGTTTATGTTCCACTATATTAGTTCACATGTATTTATTATGCTATTGGGTTATCAAATCAAATCACTTTTGTTGTCACATTATCAGTAGCACATGTGCTATGATGAGTGAAAAGCATACAGACAGTGCAAATACAACATTCTACTCTTTAGTCATTTAGTCATGGGTTACATTCTACTCTTAGTCATGTCGGGTAACTGTATGTTTACCTATGACAGACGTCTTTGCGGTTGGGTCATGTAATTTACAAGGAAACAAAACTTTAACATCAGAATATTTACTCCTTATATTGCGATATGAAAACAGTTTCAGTTTCTTATACGGTTTTCTGGGGGGTCTAACAGTATTCAGGTACAGAAATTGAATAATCATTATGCAAAACTGTGCTTCTTTTTTACTCTGCTTTGTCTCATTTCTATTCCAAATATAAAAACAAATCTTAGATCAAGTAAAAATATTGTTTTGTTTTGTTTTAGATGAAATAAGGCAAAATTAAGAGTTTAATAATAAGTTAAATACTTAGTTTTCTCTTTGAAATTGAGATAGTTGGACCAGAAACAAGGACAAAAACTTTAAGTTAGAAAAACATTTTTGTTATTGCATAAATCATATAAATACAGTGATTAATTACAATTCTGTGGCTCCTGGTCAAGTATAATCCAGATTTAACATTGCATATCTTTGCCATGAGACTATTGCGCATGTGCACATTGTGATAGAGATGCTGAAAAGATATATTGTGCAGCCCTATTTGAAACCATATAAATAAAGTGTTAAATGATATTGAAAATTCATTTATAATTTAAGCACAATCGTTTCAAAAACATTTACTGCATTTTTAAAACACCGTGACATGCACAAGATGTGAATGCATCAGTCAAGCATGTTTATCAGTGCATGATTGCATAGAAAAAGAATGGAAAGTGGCACACTAAAATGCAGAGCACGATCTCTGTGAATTGCCCCTTCTGGCAATATTGGGTCTAAAATGTAAGTTCCCCAATATTAACTTCTTGTTTACTGAGCTGTCATATAAGAACATCAATCTCCACCTCCAACCATCCCCATCTGCATAGCCGCTCGCGTCTCAGACAAAGAGCTCAAGTTCTCAGATGCACTGAGACATTGATGCCACGACGGCATTCAGCTCACCGTCCAGATGGATTTTATTCCGTATAGCATCATTAGAGCGGCTCATCTGCATGGGCTGAGGACTACATTAGGCTCGCAGCACTGTGGGTGTGCTTAAAGAGAGGAAGGTAATTAGTTCCTACTCTCCTCAGCAGGCAGTGGATGGATGACATGCTCATCATGTCTAAATGTACAGTGTGTGCTTCTGGAATACTAAAGCTCTTAAAACACTTCCACTTCTATCTCTGCGTTCTGTAATCTCCTCATTTATAAGCCCCGGTCCACCTGAATCTGTCTTCATTCATTAAAGGCCAGATATCTGGGGCTCTCTCCACTCTTACTCTGAAGAGCTTTGGCCTGGAATAGCTCTTAAAGGTATTTGATTTCCAAGAGGAGTGAATCGAGGGAATGTTAGGCTGGAGCTCCATGATGAATATTGAGCATTTCTTACATTTCACTCAAGACATAAGATGGCATCCCAAATGATGCATTTCTGTACTTGTGATGCATTTGTGGATTTGTTGTTTCCTCAATAGCCTTTAAGCTAGTCCTGCTCATGTCAAGATCTCTGGTGACAGTTATTGTCTATAACTTCCAACAGCAGAATCATCACACTGTTTTTAATTAAACGCTCAACTGCTGTTTCACCATTTAAGTTAACATTTAGATTTGCATTTAAATGTCTGTTTGCAGGTGCACGCAATTGTGTTCTATTACAAACATCATGATACTTTGTTTTTGCAGTCCAAAGCCTGGATTTGAATAGATTTAATGCAAAACACAATTGCTTCATGATTTTAAGTTTTTGAATTATATGACAAAAGCTACAGTGCATTCGGAGAGAAATCATAACGCTTTACTTTTTCCACTTTTTTTGTTACAGCCTTATGTGATTTTTCAGGTTTTTTTGATTTTTAATAAATTTGCAAGAATTTCAAAAAAATATTTTTCACATTCACATGTCATTATGGGGTATTGTGTAGAGCTTTGAGGAAGAAATAAATCAATTAAATCCGTTTTGGAATAAGGCTGTAACATAAAAAATGTGGAAAAAGTGAAGCGCTATGAATATTTCCGCATGCACTGTATATAATGCATTACATAGGCTAACTTCTAAAACATCCAGTAAATTTCACTTTCAGATCAAATGGTGAAAAGTAATATTTTTATAAAGAAATTTGGATCAAATCAGTTCAATTTATTTAAGTATTTGAGTGAGCAAAAGAGGTGGACAATCATGATTTTAATTTTTGTTTGCATATGTGGCGCTGGACCACAAAAAGCACATGTCTTTTGTTTCACACGTATATTATTGCCAACAGACAAAATTACTTTATTATATGGTTCAAAATTATTGATTTTCCTTTTATGCCAGCATGTTCAAGATTTTTTGTACATTTCCCACTGTAAATTCTATTCAGTCTCATTGGTAACACTATAATAACTACATACTAAAAATCATTTTTAAGCATTAGCACATAGTGAATTCATTATTTGTTAAGCATTAACTCTAAATTGATAGACGTTAGTCAGCAGTTTATAACTGCCGATACACTCTCAGAAATAAAGGCACGCTTGCTGTCACTTTGGGTGGTACCTTAAAGGTCCATAATAATACCTCAAGGGTATAGCAGTACCTAATGTACAAAGATTTTTTTGGTACTAATAAATGCTTTTGAGGTACCAATATGGACCCTTTAAGTACAAATACCTTTTGAAAAGGTACCACCCCAGTAACAGCTTGCGTACTTTTATTTCTGAGAGTGTACAAATACTCTATTTTTGACTTATAAGCACATTTAAAATTTACTTTATAACTGTACTTTCATACTTTGTTACTGATTCATTTTTATGAATAAATTAAGTATCCTATTATTTACAAATCATTTGTATTTAAAAGTAGTTTTGGGTTTTTAAGATTATTCAGAATGAGTTAGTAAATGATTAATAAACAATTCAAATCAACATTTATTATATTATTATTCAGGCAAATATTCATATTTAATTTGTATGTTAATAAATGCTTTATTAACTCAACATCCAGTTTTGTGACCTAATCTAAAGTGAGGAATATTTATGCTTCATAAATCCCTTAAACATCCCCCAAACTCGGTCCTGGAGGGCCGATGTCTTGTAGATTTTAGCTCCAACTTGCCTCTACACACCTGCATGAATGTTTCAAGAAAGCGTAAGAGCTTGATTAGCTAGCCCCAATGTGTCTGATTGGGGTTTGAGCTAAACTATGTAGGACACCGGCCCTCCAGGACCAAGTTTGGGCACCTCTAATGTAGAGTTAATGCTTAACAGATAATGAAATAACTTTGCTAATGCTTAATAAATGTGCATATTGTGTAGTTATTATAGTGTTACCAACAAGAATGAGCTGAATTAAATTTACAGTAGGAAATGTAGGCCTACAAAAAAATCTTGAACATGTTGGTATAAAGGAAAAGGAAAATTTATCTGTTTATTTTATATATTATTATATTAGTATATTATTTAGCACAATTAAAAAAAATCTTTAAGTGCTTCACAATGTCAGAATTTATTTTTATCATATATAAAAATAAATGTAAATATATTACAACTAAACATGTTGGGTTAGTAATGTGTATTGTAAAGACTGCATTTAGACAGTGTTAACATTATAATTGTCTCAACATTTATATATTTTTTAACTTTTGAAATCCAGATTTTTAAACACAATTTCAGCCAAATATTGGCAAATTCTAATAAAGGATATCATCAATTGCTTATTTATTTAACTTTAATGTTATCTAAAGATGTCAATTTTGGAAAATTGTACTGAATTTGTGGTGCAGGGTTATCCTACATAAGATGTTGTTTGATGCTTTGTGTCTATGCAATGAAGTATATGCTGGTGTCCTATTTGCAGTCATTGACCAATTCCGTTTGTCTCTGTATTTCTGTGTTTCTAGGAGTATAACATCTATGGATGGTGGGTCGGTGAGCTAGATGGTGCCATCGGCATAGTTCCCAAAGAGTTTTTACACCCTGCTTATATTCTATGAGGTATTTATTTTTCACACCGCCATTCCCCGTAATTACTTACTCTGGATAAACAAGATACCGAGAGTGAGAAATACACGTAAACGGTTAACGTGTTACACTGTTGCTGTCCAGTTGATCAGTTTCTAGAATAACTTGAGCATTAACGCCAGCTCCTCCATGCTGACACCTGCTGGAGATGACTGAAATTACAACAGGGTTTCTACAGGTTTCATCAAGTGAAGACTTGAGACCTTTTTGAGTCCATTATGAATGAAATTACAGACGTACACAAGGCTGATCAATCCATAATGGTATATAGAGTTAATAAATAAACTTTTATTGAGATGGAGTGTTTGTGATTGGATGTGTTGAACCGATTGGGTAGCTTTAGATTGACATAGGAAAATTAAGACCTGTTTAAAATGATTTAAGAATTTTTAAGGTCTAAAATGTAGTTTTTAAAACGTAAGATACCCTTTACATAGACATTAATTACAAAAGATTCATTCTTTTAGAGCATGTTGTTCAAACCAGTGTTCATTTCTGTTTGTCTTTTTCTAGGTTTGCTTTGTTGCGAAGATCACAGAAGCAAATGTCTTCAAAGTTTAAATGAATTGCATTTTAGTTAATAGACTAATAATAATTAATAGAAATGTTTAAACTTAAAAAAAAAAAGCTCTAATAGTTATCCAATCTGAGAACTAAGTGTTTTTGTGAGTAAGCCTTTTATTATTTATGTGTGTACACTAAAAGGCTTATTATTGTCCAAGTCTAGTTTTCTGATTTATTCAAATACAAGACACACAGACACACACACAATTGATTTCTACAATACTGTTGCAAACTGGTTGAATTCAAACTAATTTGATAATGTTCAAATTAATTTGTTTAAATTCAGCTCAAATCAATTTACATCCACTACTATAAAAAACATAAATCGTTATTAGGAATCATCTTTGAATATTTTCTTCAGTGCATTTATGCAAATAGTGTACATATGAAAACCATTTGTAGCATGAGAAAGTCATTTTAGCAGTTCTCATTTACTGTTATATAAAGACAGTGCTTTATCAGCAATTACTAAATATAATTTTATAAATAATTTAGATTAAGACAGAATCTTGAAATATCCTTAAATCCTGTTTTATTTTTTTTTACTTGACTCTGCACTTAAAAGTTGTAGATCAGATGCAGTACCAGCCAATTCAGCACGTACATTCCCTGACATAAGTCTCATTATTAATCCCGATGTAAGAGCAACAAATAACTTGACTTCTCGTTGATCATTTGGAAAAGTAGTAGAAGGTAGATTTAAACCAATGAATTATCTGTTTAACTGCATCCCAATCATCACAAAAACTGCAGACCTATTGGAACCTGCACCTAGGATTCTCACAGAAATTCCAGGATTGGCCAGCCCAGTCTCCAGACATGAACATTGAGCATGTCTGGGGTAAGAGGGAGGAGGCATTAAAGATGAATCCAAAGAATTCTGATGAACTCCTGCGGGAACGATTTCTTTGCCTTTCCAGATGACTTATAAAATTATTTGAGTCATTGCAGATGTGTGGATGCAGTCCTCCAAGCTCATGGCGGTCATATACAATATTCTTTCTTTTACCACTGCACCATGACTTTATATTCTATACTGCACATTATTTCTGTTAGGTGACAAGACTTTTGTCCAAGCAAAGTCAGACCTTACTGTCCTAATTAAATAATTAAATATCAAGACATTTTGGTAAAATAAGCTTAATCTAGAGGCCTTTGCCTTTTATATAAAGCACTTGTGATACCAAATAGTCATGTAGAAGTCAAGTTAATATTTATTGTTCCTAAATCTTGGCTAGGCGACAAGACTTTTGTCAGGTAGTGAATAACTCCTAGAGAAAAATACCCATCATACAAGTTTCTTTTTGTTAGCAAAAAGCTAATTAACGAAATTTTACATCTTACGCTTGTTTTTTTTTGGTTGTTTGAATACATGCAGCACACAACAAACTTAACAATTATTCACAAAAAAAGCACAACAGCAGTTAATGACATGCCTTGAATGTATTGTAAAAACAATAGTTTATTCAGCAAAATGTATCACTCTTAAAACTGGACAAAAAGAACAATAAAAAGCTTCCAGGATTTGATGAATCAGTCGTTTCAGATGAAAATATAATACTCCATGTAATAATTGTCAGCTCACACTCCAAATAAAATCTTGCACATGAACTGCCTCGCTTCCACTCTTTAGCCTACACGTACATTTCAGATGAACAACGCAAAACGCTTAAGTGAAATACAGCATCAATAAGAGCTTCTCGACCGGAGAAACCGACCATCAAGGGTAGATCCATCAATCACGCGACCCAGAGAGTCTCAGAAGTGGATTCAAAAACTGAACTACATGGACTTTGGCTTTGCAAATGATAAAAAAAAGAAACTCACGATTGAAGTGTTTCTTTAATTAAATAAAGAAAAACAAATCGGAGACAGTTTCTTTGCGACGCATGTTCAGGCTCTGCCTTTATACATTTACACTGTCCGCTAAGAAACAAAACAAAAAAGGGCTTATTTTGAAGGGTTTAAAATAGTGACAATATTTTACAATTCTATCTTAAGTGGCATGTTCTATCAGGCCCGATCGAGTGGTGCGTCTCTTGGCCTGGTCATAATGGGTGACGGAACTATTCTAGAACCACCTGAAAGCTAACACGAGCTCCAAATGGTGGAGAATCGGGCCGGGAAGGAAAGGGGACGGGGGTCTTAGTACAGGGCGTCAGTATTGCTGCTTCTCGGCCTCTTGATCTTCTCGATGTTCTTCAGGATCATGTCATGTAATGTTACCTGCAGGACAAGTTTAGCTCATTAAAGTCATCACAATCTACACTGTAAAAGATTATACCATTGCCTCAAGTGGAATCAAATTAACAATTTTTTGCTATTCCTGCATATCTTTTTCTACAAAAAAATTGATTAAAAATAGATTTATGTAGAATGATTTTTAGGAACATAGTGTCTAAAACATTAACACATGAAATAAGATAACTTTTTAACCTAAGGTTTACAATGCAAATCCAATTAGTACTACTAGTTTGGTAAACAAAGCACCAAAAAGTCTCACAAAATATCCACTAGAAGTGTAACGAATCACGTTTGATCCATGATTCATACGGATCACAACCCATGGTTTGGAACACACGTGGCATGTGGATTAGTACCTTTTTATACTGGTAGATTAATCTTATATTTATCCATTTATTTTTATTAAACTTTCCAAGTTCTGCTGGTTGATGCATGTGCCGAGTTTTCCTTGCCAAACTTAAGCCAATTAGAATTGTTTGTTTTGGATCAATTTGGAATTTCCACAACCCTCAGAGCTCGGGGGATCAGAGTGAGTGATCTTACCTGGCCCCACTCTGATCCAATCCTAAATTTGTTACGATCACAGAAAGGTCGCCTCTCACGTCATTCAAATCACATATATGAAAGCATTTAGGCTTTTCTGTAAAATATAATGATGGCGAAAGATGTTGTGGTAGGTTGTTCGGGCTGAGGTGAGTCTCATTGAAGGTGTTTTCTGTTACTACTTGTTTAGCCTGCATTAATGCATTCAGTTTAAGTTTAAGCATGATTAATCAGTAAAGGATTGGTATCTCAACAATCACGCAACATAATATATAAATGATGGTGATTTGCAAATATTTATTAATCCTTCCAATTATGAAGCTACAAACAGTGAAATGAGACAGAAGTACTGGGAGAACAGTTTATAGTTTGAATGAAACCAGTGATGTTTATGGTAAAGATTAAAATCATTGTCATACGCATTCAACAAATTAAAGTTGTAGGCAGCAATTACATAATTTAACCAATAGGTGGCGACAACCAGCCATTAAAAAATATGCAACTGAACAATTCTTCAAAAATGATCGTCTAGCAATGAAACATGACGTTTTATGAGTGAATAACTGAATCATTTATTGAAAATGAGACTAAAAATAAATATGGGTTGTAAAAAATATAATGTTATATTTACACATTTAGTGTTATCAGCAATATTTGTAGAAACCGTTTCACAGTTTTTCACAGTACTGAATATTTAACAATTGTTTTAATTCAGCTGATTATTAGGTTCTGTTTGTTAAAACCAAAAGTGTCTTGCATTACTGTTTTTGTAATAAATGGAAAGCAACTGACATTTGTCTCCTCTCCTTTTTGTCTGACCTGAAAAAAGGTCCGATCTGTGACAAAAAAAATCCTAACGTGATCTGAACCATGAGACTTGTGATACGTTACACCACTAATATCTACCAAGACAGAAAATATTACTTATAAACTATTGTACACACATTTTCTAAACACTTGCATATTTAATTATATTACTAAAATAATGATAAAAACTGAATAAATATACATTTATACATTTAGAGAAATAGACTCAATCATGAGTTCATCATAAACTATGTTTCCATGACATATTGATTAGATCACTTTCTACAGTGTTTAGAACATTTTGCATAATTATTCATCAACTAGTATAGCAGTACTTACGTATTGATTTCGCAGTTCTGACACTATAATCTTGAGGCTGATGTATTCCTTCTCATCAATCTCTGTCACTGTGCGGCGATAATCCTCCTAAACATCCAATAACATAAGATTATCTTAAATATAATAAAACATATTATAGACCTGACATAAATGCTAGTCTGTAAGTGTAATGATGACTTACAACATGAGGGTATTTTGCTATTTTGGAAACCAGCTTTGCCCTTGTGATATAGTACCTGGAAAAAAAGATAAGGATTTTTTTTTTAATATGAATAAAATTCAAAAGCGAGCCGTTGTCTGCCATTAATATGGATTTAGTGTGAAGCACCTGGATATCTGGTCTAAGAAAGATGCTGCTTCCCCTTCCACTGTTCTGAGTTCAGCAACCGTCTCCTCCTGTGGACAGTAACGACAATCACAATTGCAGGTTAGTGGCTAGCAACTTCTGCATTTGACTTTCACTGATAAGTCCAAAGGTCACAGACAGTGGAAAATATTTTATGTGGCAGCATACCTGAATTGAGACACCAAAATTGTTGCCATCTTCTATTCTAGGGATTAACAACTGAACCCACATCTTGACCTAGAAGAGCACGGGAAAATTATTTAATCATTTACCTAACACGCTTGAGTGGAAGATGGCACAAGACTATCAACGTACTGTGTTGCATTTTTCCATAAGAGTTCTGATTTCAGGCTTGACTTTTTCAATCAGCTCCACCAGCTTGCCATTGCTTTTCATCATTCCACCAGGCATGACAAAGACCTTGGTCCCGCCAACTACAACAGAGCATATACAGGAATCAGAGAGTGAAATCAGAGAGTGTTGCATTGGTTACTGCAATAAAGCAGCATGATATCAAATCTAGTATGATTTCATAAACTACACAGCATCCCGATATTCACACAATTCAGGCAAACTTAAGCATAAAACCATACATTGTATAATCAAAAATTATAAAAAATGTAATACCTTGCAAAATAGCATTCAACACTTTGAGGGCCTTAAATTTCTCTACATTAATTGATCAACTTTTAATACTTTTTAAGACACACTGGATCTGTCAGCACAGCAGAGCACATGGAAAAGAGAGGAAAAAAGACAAACGAAAAACAAACAAAACAAACGAACAAGATCTCCGTTTTGATTTTTCCCCCCAGTGAATTTCAACAGTATTTTGCAGAGTGTTTGGCCTGTCATGGATGAAACACAGTCATGATTATACAAATACAACTCTAAAACAGCCAGTAGGGCAGCAAAAAGTTTAAATGAATTGAAACCTGTCTTTAGGAAGAGTAAAATGATTAATGCAGAATACATTCACCCAGGGCCAAAACACCAGTGTTGCTCTGAGAATTGCTCATAAATATTTATTTATAGTTAATATAAATATTCTTTGCATAAAAATAAAAAACAGAAGGAAATATTTCCCAGTTTCAATATGAGCATTTAATAAAACAAGTATGTGTTATCATTGACAATCAACACTGCACACTTTCAAAACACATTTGTTTAACTTGGTAAACTAAAGACAATACCCACCTTTGTCGTCTCCTGCTCCATCTTCAAATTTCCTCTTTTTAGCATTTTGCTATTGAGAAAAATGTCAAGGTTATCTTTTTATCATATTCAGAGATTTTAGATCAACATCAATAGATTATATGACTGACTAATGAAGAAGACACTTGACGAAAATGACTTTTACCCCCTCAATCCCATCGTGGATGTCTGTAAGCAGAATTGGGTCTGGCACTGTCAGATTGATCTCTGAATGAATTTCCTGCAGCTCCGTGATATTAATTGTGGGATCCTACAAGTGATCAAATGTATGAGTGTTTGTACAACAGGTAAAAGACTCAATGCATCATTTTGGGGTTTCAGCCCCTTTTAAAACAACATCTGGGTTTCACCAAGTAAAATTTAAGATTTTTTTAGACCATTACGAATTAAATTGCAAAATTTTACAAATGCTAAGGATTATTTTCAAATATCCCAGTTAGAAAAGATTTTCAGTTGCCCTATAATTTTTTTTTGTAATGTAATACATTTAACAAAACAATTATAATATTAATAATTTAGTTCGATTTTTTTTAATAATTGTCAAATATATCCATTCACAAACCCTAAAGCCCTTACAAATATCAGAACAAAACATAGCTGTCAATTACTTCAGTCTACAAAAATAATAAAAAAATATAAGACAGTCTCCTGTGTTAGACCATGGGCTGTATTAGCCACACCAACTTTTTGGGTTGGGTTTTCTCATTGAAAAACTTTTCCAAAGTAAAGTGAACTTCTAACAAAAAAACAGCAGAAACTTGTTTTAAGCATTATTATTTAAGTTTGATTTCTCAAAAGTCTGACTTTTCATTTCAAGATATGTTGCCGTTGAGATTTTTAAAGTTCTTCTTTAACATTTACAATGAAAAAAATAATTTTTCATAACAAGTCAATGTGATTTAATTGAAGGACGTTTAGATTTTTGTCCTGGACAACAAACTAAAAATCATTCAAATCATTGAAGTGCATGCAGCATTTAATCAAGACTTTGCAATTTTAAAACGTTCTGCTCCAATTTACGACTTTTTGCCTTCAATCTGAGGAGAGACAAAGCAAAACCCTGATCATAAACCACCATCAAACACTTACCTTCAAAAACTGGTCCAGTTCTAACAATTTCTTCGGGAAAAAGTTTGCAACCAAGTCTTCAGCCTATAAGTCAACAATAAAACAATAAGTGTCAAATAGTCAAAGAAATGTCGGTATATAAATAATACATGTATAATTTATACATGTAATCTCCGTTAATTTACCTCTGATGTAATTCGTTCTCTAAAAGCATCAACCTGACAAGACAAAAACATTAATATGTAATTTTAGAAACACAACTAAGGCAATTCCCAATCTGAATTTTGCAGTCACTGCTTTTATTATTTTTAATAAAATCGCTTTAAGAAAACAAAACAGCTGGCGGCCTTTCTGTTTTAGGGCGCTGAATGTAGAACTGCACAATCCCGCTGGATTAATTTATTAGCCTCATGATCTTAACTGTAAACCTTTGACAAAATAAGTAGATATTAAAAATTACTTTTAGCTCGCTAATGGAAAAAAACGATGGCAAACTTCTCTCCAATTCTCCCGTAACGACATGCTGCTGTGCTAAAAACACGCTTCATCCGCACACCCGCTGTTAATAACGACTCCGCCGAACATGTGGGGGCTTCGGCTTCAGCTTGGTGATCTGATATATACAATCCGAACGTACTTAACGTTTAAATCAATGTTTTATTTGAAAACTGTTTGATTTTACAAGCAAATCTGGATCTGAAAGTTAGCAGATGTGCTCACGAGGTGACTCACGGGCAAGCCGGCTAGCCGCAATGCTAACATTTACAAACAGTTTATTTGAGTGCGGCGTGTTTAAATAAAAGAAACGTTGAGACTTTTACCTTTGTTTTGATTTCATTGTCCACCTTCAGGAGCGAAGACATCGTATTAATTCAAGAAATGTGAAAATGAAGGGATTGTCCTAAAAGCATTAACTAACCGTGTGGCTTACTAACTGCTGTCAGCCACAAGGCACTTGCGCGCTTTTAGATGACGTAAAACAGAGAGGCCATAGATGCGAATACATGATAGATGTGCAGAAAGAGTCTGGCATTCGTGACCAAATTCAGTCGAATTAATGCAACGACAACGCAGCTTATTCGTGTGCGGTTTGGCTGTATTCTAAATAGACACTGAAAAAAGTACTGGGTTATTTATTTGAACACATTGTTGGGTGAATTGTGCTGGATCAAAAGTATGGACTGTTTGATGTAGGCTACTATAAAACATTTGGGGTTTGCTGACCCAGTTTAAACTGGGCTTATTCGCTGATGAAAAGGTCAGGTCATTTTGATTTAGCTGGTTTATTAATTGCAAATTAGATAAAAAATTTATGGTTAATAGAATATATTAATGAACATGGGGAAAATAACAAACAAACAATAACAGAGATACTGTAATTTAAGTAATAATTATAACAATAATGAAAATAAATGACAAGAACAACATCAACAATCATCAATCAATAATCATAATAAAGCATTATTTATTTATTTATTATTACCACTGTTGTTCTTGTAAGTAATAATAATAAAATAGAACATTAAGAATAATACTAGTAATAGAGTTTGACATTATGGCTACAAATTCTATTTCTCTCTTTAAAAGGTAAATCTGATCCCTGACGTGAATATCGCTTTTAACACGGTATCTATGTATTTTGATATATCTATGTTCTTGACGACTTGGAAAAGAGTGAAGCGCATGTCTGCGTCATATTTCTCTCTGTACATAAATTATTTGATGAAATCACAATATAAGTACCCACAAGAACAATTAAAAGCTTTCGCTTACCATTGAACAATTTTTATTTTGATATTTGATAAAAAGTATAAAAATATTTTGTTCGAACGTAAGCAAATCCGAGACACTTCCTGTGACGTACATTGGAGGCGTGTCTGAATCTAGCGATGTAAACAAGAACGCAAAAGACAAGTCTCACAGTGTTGACAGCACCACGGGCATTTAGAGCGTCGTATCCCCTCATCAAACGCTTCCGTTGACTCTGGCTCACAGACATGAACCTCCCCGTCACTGTCAAAGTGAACTTTAGGGGCAACGTGAAGAAATTTCCAGTCTTGGACACGAACAAAGCACAGTGGGAGACTGTGGAGGCCTGGGTAAGGAGTCATTAAGCCTTGCTGGGTGGCGTTTATGTGGGGACGTTTACATTTCTTGGTCCTACAAGGCCGTAGCTGAGGCCTACATAAACAAACCTTTAACCGGATGCTAAAAACGAATAACGTACAGGCAAATTCTTTAATCCTGTCATAGAAAATATGTCTTAACATGTATTTTAGCTGGGTCTTCTTTTAAAATCCACAGTGATGTAAATTGCAGCAATATCTATTATTTGCTCTTGACCTTTCTGTTCGGCCATAAATCAGATGACAGCTTCTAAATAAACACTAACGATGTAAAATATCGTTCTCGTTTTAATCTTACTGTGCCTTCTTTACATTTTCTGTTTATAACTTTTAGATTAAAACTACTTTCGGCTTGAGCCATTTTCAAGTGAAATATTTTGACGAGGACAACGAAGAGGTAAATAATAACAGTTTAATTACGGGTTTATATCATCTTTGCATTTTTGTTTAATATATTACATTGATGGATATGAGTTAAAAGTTGTTACAGATCTATTGTTTTATTTTTCATTACAGGTGTGCATAAACAGTCAAGGTATGTATATGATTTTATTAATTGTTTTCACTAAATAACTCGAAATGTTGAAATATTATTAAAATGAAAATTAATGTTTGTATATATATATATATATATATTTTTTTTTTATTTTTATTTTTATTTTTATTATTATTATTTTTTTATTATTATTTGACAACATCACAGATGAATATACAGAAGCTCTAAAGGTAAGAACATCAAACAATTCAGTTTTGTGTGTGTGTGTGTGTTTGTATTTATAAGCCAAATCTGAATAAGGCCCATGCTGTATTAAATTATTATTATAATGATCATAATTTAAAAAAAAATCTCAAGGCTTTAAAAATAAATTTATTTTTATTTAGAGTGCGTTTAAACAAGCCAACCAGCTCCACATGAATGTCTATAAGATGAAGGGTCAGGCAGAGGGTGGTGCAGTTAAGGCAGAGCTGAAGGAACTAAAGATAGACCCCAGACCAGCTCCGCCATATCGAGCTAGGGTCAAGATGGCAGACAAAGAGACCCAGGTGACCCCCGAGCGGGAATCGGTAAGCACTTTGCAATCTTTTAATTATACAGTTCTGTACAAACTTTTACTAACCCTTTGCAGAATATCTAAATGTAATTTTAACAAAATAGGAAACCCTTTTTATTGGATATTTTATATTACTATATTGTTATTACTTATATGAATTAGAGATTTTATATATTAAATGTTGAAACATACTCTTTATGACTAAATAATACATTCATCTAAAAAAAAAAAATGACACTATCGAAAAGTTTACATACCCTAAAATCTTAATACTATTTGCCATTATATGTGTGATGTTATTTTTTTATTGTTCTGATAGATGTTTATGAGTCACTTGTTTGTCCTGAACAGTTAAACTGCAGAAATGTTCATAATATTATTTGTCTTTCTTGCATCATGTGCACTTTTTTCACATCAGGACAATTTTATAAACAAATATCGCAAAATTTGAAAACAATTCAAAGGCAACACACTACCTTCTTGAGGCTCTTTAATCTTAAAATGGATGGTCAGGTTCAATTCATTATTTTTCTGCTAGTAATGTAAGTATTTTATTCAGTTTTGAAGGGCAGTATTAAATACAATTATAATGTTTAAACTAAACCAGCACGGAACTGTACATTGTGTACAAAGGTTTGCACTCTTGTGTAGATGGGTACACAGTATGTCTCTTAGTTAATAAATTATAATTATTGTGAAAATACTGATCTCAAAATTAGTCTTTGTTGGAAACTATTCATATATACACAAGATAAAAGAAAAGAATGTGTAGGACCTTGAGGATCTTTCTGAAGAATTTAACTGCTCATGACAAACAAGGGATTCTTGAACAAGCTTCACAAACAAGTAATGAATCATCCAGGTAGCAGCACACATTGCTAAGATTCTTTAGTATTTAAACTTTTCATAAATGCAGTTATTATCATTTTCTTCACTTTGAAAAAGTGCATGCTAATGTCTAACTGTAAAAGGCAGTTTACATCTGGTGTGTGAAATGGCATATTCAGGACCATACTAAATAAATAGCATTCAATTTTAATAATCCCTCTTCTTTTGCAAAAATGATTAACATTCTGCCTATTTTGCAAGGGGAGTGCACACTTATTAGCTGAACTGCAAGTGTGAGTTGTCTCACAGTTCATGCCGATATTGCTAAAGTTAATGTTGTTAAATTATAATGGGCTGAGCTTATTGCTGAGCAAGATGTTTTCAGATTGAGAAAATGTGTTTCTCTTCCTGGTTTTCACAAACAGGCTGTGGCCAAAGAAAACAAAGGGATGAAAACTGAAGAAGAAGCAGTCCCCACTTGGTTTAAATCCTACATGGACAGGGTACTGTGTCTTAAAAATGATTTAATGGGTCTTGCTTTGATAACGTTACTTTTGCATATAACTAAAATGCACCATATTACATTTCATATTAAAGTCATTACTTGTTTAATCTGGTCCAAATTGTTCTTTTTGTAGTTCAAAGACCAAGTGGTAAGGGAGGTGGTGGACAGGATGTGCAGTGAGTTTTCTGGCCAGTGTTGCACACACAGAGCCTCAGATCCTCCTGCAGAGGAACCAAGCACCTCTGGCACACAGAAACCAGTCAGCTCCACCACACTGAGGGCCTCTAGCTCAACTCCAAATTGCAGTAGTTGCAAAGGACCAGCCACTGGGGGAGGATATCAGTGCAGGTGAGAATGTCCTAAAGCTTTGAGAATATTGACTAATATTCTGTGCTGGATAGTACTCGGTAAAGCAAACTGAATTAAATAGTCAGATTTAAAAAAGTAAAAACTTAAAATAATTTCACATTTAAAATGGTCATAACTCCAGAGTTATATATTGATTGATTACATGGAATTGTCACAGTGGCAGTTAAGTCTTCAAAATTTACAGATTTTTCTTTTTAACTTTTTATATTTGTAATCTAAGCCAACTAATTGGAAATTTATGTACATAAGTTTTTGGGGAAAAAGGGTAAAATCTACATCAATTGCCTATAATAGGTTAATGGTAACATAATTTGTTTGCTTTTTATTCAGTTTTGTAGTATTTGCAGTTTCCTGGTATCTTGATTTGCACTGCCACATCCAATGAAGTTCGAAAATGGGCAAAAAATAGAGCTCATGATATAATAAAGGTAATCTAAAATGAATCAGACAGATTACATTACCTAAAATGTGTAATGTGTTAGTAAATAGTTTTAATATTATATTTTCATTTTCACCTTAAAGCAACAAAGAAGGCAACAACGATTATAAAGACAGAAAAGAAATGCAAAAAAAGACAAAAGATTTTAAAACCATTATTAAATCAGTTCCTCCAGTAGTATCAACAAAGATACACATGTATATCTAGGCTCGTGGGCACAGGCAATATAATGATCCTGCAGACGATGACAGGGTTATACCTTTAAACTGTTATCCTTGGCATTTGACAGTCAATTAAAAAAAAGAATTACACAGGGCTTTGAAGCCAGCAATGTTATCAGATAGATTGTGTCTAAGTGTCTCTTAATGTAAAGTGCTAGAACAGGGTGTTCGCAGGGTCTTTTAAGTATTAAAAGTTAATAAATTAATTATGAGAAAATGAAGGCCCTTGAAAGTTATTAAAAAGTCTTAATCATGTTTTTACGAGGTCTTGCATTTTGTTCAAGCGTTGTCCAAAGTGTTTGACTCCAAAAAAGTATAAATATATAGTTATTTTCCTCCTAATATTATCAATGGCGTGCTCGATCTGTGCGATTGGTTCTGGCTGGGGTGCCTCAAGCCTTGCTCCTCCGTTCGGGTCACATATAACATAATAAACATTG